GTCTGTCCCAGAGCCGTCTGTCTGTCCCAGAGCTGTCCCTGTCTGTCCCAGAGCTGTCTGTCTGTCCCAGAGCTGTCCCTGTCTGTCTCAGAGCTGTCTGTCTGTCCCAGAGCTGTCTGTCTGTCCCAGAGCTGTCCCAGTCTGTCCCAGAGCTGTCTGTCCGTCCCAGAGCTGTCTGTCCCAGAACTGTCTGTCCGTCCCAGAGCTGTCCCATTCTGTCCCAGAGCTGTCCCTGTCTGTCCCAGAGCCATCTGTCTGTCCCAGAGCTGTCTGTCCATCCCAGAGCTGTCTGTCTGTCCCAGAGCTGTCCCAGTCTGTCCCAGAGCTGTCCCTGTCTGTCCCAGAGCTGTCTGTCTGTCCCAGAGCTGTCCCAGTCTGTCCCGGAGCTGTCTGTGTGTCCCAGAGCTGTCTGTCTGTCCCAGAGCTGTCCCAGTCTGTCTTGGTACTTGCTTTCTCCCCAGTGCTCTTCTGAGGTTAGTCCCAACATGCCCTGCCTGCTGACCTCTTTGCCCCTTTCCCCTTAGCTCAGCTCTAGCACCCACACCCAGGATGGCACCGTGGGCAGAGATATGGGTGGTAATAGGCCCTGCCTCCTCTCGGTTGACACAGGAGCCTCATGCCAGGCGCTGTGGTGGCCACGCCAGGGGTCTGAGAGAGGACAAGGCACTGTGTCCTCTATATCCTGCTTCAGGTAGCTGTGCCTTCCCTGTTGCCAAGGAAACACTCCTCAAATACCCTGAAGCCAACAGGAGCTGGAGTCTTGCAGTATAAGGAGCATCTGCGCAGGAGGCTGGGATGTAATTGAGTTGGAAGTGAAGCGGATTTTCAAGAGGACTTTATTTTAAAATGCATTCTTTTGTCATTTTAAAACCTGCCCTTAATAACTGCATATCCCAGTTGTTATCTGTTGGCCTGGCAGCTTCTCACTGCTAAGGAGAAGTTGTCTGGAAATCAGGAATGAGATTTACCATTTCAAATGTTTGTTATTTAGGCCCAGGGAACATTCAACCAGGCCTGGGAGATTCCAGGAGGAAGCAAGGAGTGGGGCTTTGGGCAGGCAGTCAAGGGCAGAGGGCAGCGTTCGAAGGTGAAGCCAAACTGTGATCACCATGTGAGATGAGGCTGGAAGGGGTGAGGCTGGGAAATGGAGAGATTTAAAAATAAAGAGCACTCACATTTCCACAAGACAGAAAACAGCTGAGAGTGGAAAGCGAGCTGAAGGTAGGAGTAGGGTCTTGAACCACACAAAGTCAGGTGCAATGACTCGGCATCTTTAGGGGTGACAGGACCCACCCTCTACTGCAGCTCTCCCTGGC